GCACATGATTGAATTGCTTAAATACTTATTCAAATAAAGATATTTAAAACATATCAGAATCATTGTAACTCCCTCTTTGTGGCAGGTAGAAGCAACCAAAAACATATTGAAATGGAGTTATTTTATTAAGTGTGTGTGCACACATAAGTGAGAGAGAAAAAAAGCAGATAGAAGACATTAAGTTATTCAATCTTGAAATGCTTATAGGGGAAAAAACTTTTAAAGCCATGATTGGTTTATAGTTTAAAATTATCTAAGCAATATATGATTGTATAAATGAATCATACGAACAATGCTAGACTTCGAAAGATCTAAATAAAAAATTTGTTAATGACCAAAATTGCATCAGAGGATTTAAGAATTTAAAAAATAAAAAAAATCATTATTTTCTATGAAAGAGAAAGAAATCAGCACAAGTAGAAAAACTAACAGAAAAGAATCCCAGTGTCTTTAGTAAAATAATGAAAATATTCCTCAGGAGAAAACTTTCCCAGAAAATAAAATATATCTATAGTTTCAAGTCATTATATTTTGAAAGAGAAAAATGAATGTTAAAAAAAAAGAAAAAGAAAAAAAGCTTCATCTGGTTTGGATTTTATCCTGATTAACTTTTAAATAAAGAGCATTTCTCATCACAAGCATGTGACAATGAGTAAGCAAAATAATTTGTTGGGCAGTGAACAAAATCACTTCTACAATTTCATTTAATAAAAAGCATTTTTGAAAAGTTGATGAAAATATTACTGAAGTACACTGAAGATATTTTGTTTAACAGAAACATTGCAAGAATGGTTTATGGATATTTTTTTTTAGTTGACACACTATATTCTCACCTTTTGCAAAAACTAAAATCAAGTTAGATTATATGGTGCAGTTTAAATAAAAAAATTTAAAAAAAAACTGCAGAAAAAGTTCTGCTTTTACACCTCTTTATCTGCAAAATATAAAATTGTAATATTCATTTCAGAGGTAAAGTATAGAGAACAGAAATTTCAAGCTTCCACTTCCAGTGATTGTCTCTCGAAACATGAAAGTGTAATGCAAAAGCAAAAGTTAAGGTTTGTATTGAGTATAATATAAAATTGAAAGGCACTTTGAAATAAATCTAATTTGTCATAGTTCTTCATCCTCTAACTTTTTATTTCATCAGAATATGATTATAACCATCAGGTTGAATTTCCTTACATTAAGATATATATATATATATATATATATATATATATATATATATATATATATATATATGTGTGTGTGTGTGAATGGTTTTGCGCTGTCGGTTCCTAGGAACTGATCTGCTTGATCCTCATTTGTCAAATTCGATGGAAGAGTTGAGTATATATTATAAAATTAAATGATTTAAAAATATGGTTCCATTGCTACACAGGAATTACCATGCTTCAAAAACAGAAACTAACAACTTCAAATTGGAATGGAACCATATTTTTAAATCAGTTAATTTTATATTTATACTCTGTAAATTTACATTGAGCACTGCTTTGTAAAAATAAAAATATCAATAAGAACACCAGATTATATATCTTACTGTTCTTTCTTTTTAGTATAATTCCTTTGCATATTGGTATTCATTAGAACACTGGATGTTTGAAATAGTCTAACATGATGCCATATGTGCTGTTGGGAACAAGGCAGTACAAAAAGAATGCGATTTATTTATGACATGCAACCATATTCTTCTGACAAAGTGTTAGTTGAAAATGATCGTTAAAGAATAAACTTTGTGCATTTTCAAATCTATATATAAGTTCTGTGGAGTCATACAACTGTTTTTTATATATATATATATATATATATATATATATATATATATATACACACACACACACGTGTGTGTGTGTGTTTCATCCTCTTATCAAGACAAATGTGATAAAGTCCGTCAAAGGATGAGATGAATAAGATAAGTTTTCCTTTTGTCTTTATTCATATTGTTCGTTTATGGATATATTGTAGCTATATCCGTTTTTTGTTTTTAACACACACACACACACACACACACACAGACAATAAACAAGGCCCTTCTATCATACAAACTGAAAAGAGGGAAAGAGGGATGCTTAAATTCATACTAGTCACCGAGAGGATATATCAGCTATAATTTTAAAAATTTTCTCAACAGCTCTTAAGAATTCCAAATACAAGAAGAAAGATATTTTAATAAATGAGAAGAACATTACATTCAGACTGCCAATATCTGACCTAAATATTTACTTATAATTTGAGGCACATAGTTCTATTTTCTTTAGATATCACTGTATACACTTTCACCTCATGTTTCTCAGACATCAGCTGCCAAACAGCTTTCAATGGAAGGATTGTAAACTAACCCAGAATTTTTAATCTAGCAAAGACCAGGGTTTTTTACTTTTTTAGGCAATGGCAAAATGTGATAGGTGATAGTTAATAAGCTCTGAAGTAGCTTAGAAAACATTAAATATTATCTAATCACAAGAAAGAACTATTTATAGTCTCACAGATTTATAGAAAGACCAGAGTCATTCATTTAGGCTGTATATGAATATCCTACTACAGTAAATACAAATTCACAAATTCTTCATCTTTCTAAAAAAACAGTACATTTTTATTGGAACATTTGTATAATTTGCCTATATATAGTTGAAATTTTAAATTACTATTCAATTAAAATTTGCATTATAATTAAATTATAATCAGGACATAGAATTTACTGTGGGACAAATCAGTAGTACTACCAAGTGTGTAAAAAAAAAAGTCTTAAACAATTCATAAGAGCAAAGAGGTGTCCTATAATGGACTGATAGCTTATGATAATTGATAAAGCTGAATAATTTAAATAAAATTTATCCCCTATGAATTGTCCTTGTACAAATGCTATGTCAAATAGCTAATTTCAGTAATCTTATTTTTTGATTGATTGATTTGTTTTTTATGGCTGAATAACCTTTTGCAGGTTATTTAAAGCCAGAAAATATTTTAGACTGCCAAAATTTTTTGGGGGGGGTATAATGATTTACTGATACAAGTCCTACTAACTAACCCATAGTTGGGGAGAGAATAGGTAAATTCATACCTTTCTTAAGGGTATTTGTGTCTAAGTGAATATAAAGAACCTGACTGGAATTGGAACTTGTCTCTCCGATTTCCAAATTCTATGTCATTATCCATTACACTCCATGTACATCAAAACTTGCAGCACCTGGTATTCCCAAGTGGTCATCAATAACTTCAGTGATCTTGAGAGAATCAGTATCTCAATATGATAATAACTGTAAACCTCTAATTTTTTAGATTAGAAACAAAGTGAACCATGCAATTAGCAGTCACAACCCCCTACTGAAGGTTACAGCGTTTTTATTATTTTTTTTTTAAAGAGATTATCTCCTTGTCTATATGTAACCACCTCCCTGCATTGCAAAATTGTTTTTTTTTTTTTTTTGTCAAAGTTTACTCCTTCCTTACTTAGAGTACTAGGTGATACTATCTATCAACAGTCCTCTATCTAAGTACTGACCAGGCTCAACACTACTCATCACTGAAGATCGAATGAGAAATGTTGCTTTCAGTATGATTTAACTATAAACAATTTATCATAAGTAGCATAAATCCATATTAAAACAAATCATGATAAATACAGTATACATACAAACATGAATCATCAACTTGAGTCATGTCCAAGAATATAGATCAGGCAATGATCTAATTTCATTAATAAAATTACCATAGGGACAATCATAAAATATTTGAAATGAATTTAGAGGTTCTTTCAAGGTTATTAATATTTCATCACTATCATTCCTCTGACAATTGAAGGTTATCAAATGACCTCGTAATCTTTAGTAATCAGTAGAAATAGCATATAAAACTATGGATGATAACAATCAAGAAATGTAACAATAGCAATTAGGGAGTACACAGTAGAAAGCAACTATTTAATTGGGTACTTTATTTGATTAGGCATTGAGAAACTTTATTTTAACAGTCAATGTATTGGGCTTCCAATGATCTCACCAAAAGTATCACATCTGGATAAAATAATTACAAGTTAATTATATAGCTAATTTTAATCTATTGCAAATACAGAACATTAAAAAAATGGAGAAGAATGCTATCACTTGATAGAAAGGGACAAGTTGATCAGAGCTTGATAATAGACCAGGTTCTTATAATCTCTCTTGTTCTCACATTAACTTAAGACATCATCAGTTAGTCCTGTGATTGCTTAACTGTGGTTTTTTACTCAAAAACCATGAAAAAGTGAAGGGGAAATTACTAAGTGAAAAGACCACTAAATCCAGCATATACCCAATACAAAGAGGGTTTTGAGAGAGAGAAATTATGTAGAAAAAGACTAGAATCCTCCAGATTATGTACAGCATAAGTTAAGCAGTAGATATAAAATCTTGATCACTAAAAGAATTGAAATGTGCTCAACTGGCTATTACATATTTTGAAGCAAAGTTCAAAATGTTGATTATTTCAGATTAAAGAATAATATATAACACTGGAAATCAAAAGATACTGATGCTGAAATAATATTTTTCACCCTCTGATAACTGTTAAACTGTGTGCTTACTTACTGTGCCAAAATTTATCATTTATCTTTTTCTTGTGGTCAAAAGGTCATTGTTCAGAACATTTACACTTCTCAAGCTATCTTTTGAAAAAAGAGAAGAGCATTTGGTGATTGCTTGGTGTTTATTTTTTTTTTTGCATACCAAAAAAATAAAAAAAAATTTTGTCAATCATCATGAATATATCAGATTGCTTTTTGTCAATTTATTTTGTTCTTTGCATCAGAAAAATGATGTCCTCTGATGAATTATTTTTGGAAAAACCTTTTCCATGGAAGCATTGTATGAATTAAAAAAAAATGTGCCCAGCAATAAATAAAAAATAAATAATTTCTGCCATTGCTGCTCACATTTGTTGTAATGGTGACATCGGCCAGTGCCAAATGTCTATGACATCTTTCTCCTTTTTTTTTTTTTTTTTTAAAACCAACTCACCTTGTCCAATTCTAGAGTCATAGATTGTGGTGGCCTGGGACTTAGCAGAGTATGGGGAGTTGAAAGTTGAGTTCTCTTGGTAAGGATCGTAGTCACTGATTTTACCGGGCTGACCATAGCCAGTTGTAGGGTACCCGCCAACTGCAGCAGTGGACATAGGAGGAGGAGGAAGAGAGTGGCCATCTACCAAAGAGGTCAAGGCAACAGAACAAAGTCAAGCTGACATTGGTTAGGGCATGAGGCAGCATGCAGTTGACCACTGGACACTCCTGCCTACGTGAAAGGAGGGACACACAGTGGGCAATGAGCTTTGAAAGCCTGATACTGTGATATGTGTGCAGGAAAGGAAAAAATATATTACTATCATATACAGATGAGCCGAGTTGAATAAATGTTTTAAGAAAATCGAATTTTCCGATTTAAAATTTTTCTTTATTATCCATTTGCTTCTATAATTCCCCTAAAAGAACCCCCTCAGTGGGGTGGGGACAGATGCAACTCTGAAAAAAAAAAAAAAAAAAAAAAAAGTGCCCTATCCCAAAAAGATTAATTTATCCATGTGAAAACAGATTATTAATTATTTAATTAAATGATGGCATTTGCATAGGATTAGCTCTGAATTTCCACTTCCATTTATCAAAAAAATACTACAAAACCAGGCTTTCATTTCCTAATATTTTTTTATAACTAAGTATTTTTAAATAATCACCTTTTGATAAGAAACATCATTACTTAACTTTAATTACTCAATGGAAAATCTAACATTAAAGAGTTGCATGCAGTTGAGCAATGCAACAATTAACCAAAGAGAATTTAAGGATAAAAAAATTCTTTGCCACATTAGAAATAATTTATTAGTTTACAAAAAAAAGTTGATTTGCATTTTGGGGTAGGGTGTAGTGGAGAATCTCAATAGTTTAAAAAGGAAAATAATTTCTACTTTATTAGTTATTTTCCAATGTTAAACACATTTTGGGTTAAAATAAGTCAATGTTAAATATTTTAGGATGTAATAACATACATAATAATGTAATGTTAAATTTATACAACAAATACAGTTTATCAATTACTATATTTGCTGGTCAATAAAATGCATGTTTTGAACTATGACTCTTCACAACTCCTTCCATCCATAAGTTTATACAACTTGATCCTTCAATGATTGGTCTTGTACTTATGTTATCCTTTTTGAAAATGCATCATATAGGCAAGTAAAGGCAATGTTTGAATAAAAATGAGATAAACTGAGATCAGACCAAAACTGAAAACTCAATACTGCATAAAACAAACATGAGATGGAATGCTGTTAAAAAATATCTCTTGATTCAAGAGGAAAATCCTCATTCCTGCAAGAGAGACTAGCATATGAGTAGAGATAGACCCCCCCACAACCTAGTGCTTTATGTTTCTCTACTACAGTCAATACTTGTAAAGGCAAGATTATAAGAATACCAATAAATGTAACAATCTAGTTTAGAAATATTTTGCATAGTTGCTGCATCAAATGAGATACAACAATGGCAAGTGAATTTAACATTAATAGTAAAAGAATTAACCCCAATAATACTAAGGGAAAGGGGAAAACCTATTTTCTGTTTCCATGGGTGGGTGTGCAAATGCAGTGTAAACTTCTTTCCTCTATCCTGTCCAGATACAATATGCAACACATCACAGAATCAGGAGCAAAGCATTCTAAAAAGCAGGTTTTGTCAGCACCCAACTAATAGGAAAATGTCTTTTCACTAGAACAAAGTCTAGCAAATAAATAAAAAAAATTAAATCTTGTTCAATGGAACAGATTAATGAATGTGTATGTTATACACCATATACTTTGATATATCGCAGCACAGGAGAGTTTCCAAAATTTGAAGATAAAATACATATATAAATTTTAGGGATAAAAGATTGCCAAACATTATCCCATATTTTGATAAATTGTCTGAAATCAGCCATTAACAAACCTCATGCTTTGTTAATGTTTAAAATATATATTAGTACTACAGAATAATTTTTATGTTCTTGTTTCTTTTAAGTTTTTCAAACATGAAAATTATAATGTCAATCACATTTTTTCATATGGAAGCAACACAAAGAACAGAAATTTTCATAATTGTTTTAATAAATTTCCAAAATGAAATAGGAATTAAATTTTGCTTTTTATGAATATTTGGGTGCTGACAGTAGCAATAATGTGGTAACAATCAGTTATGATAAAAATATCATTAATCATTTGAAAAACATTGGATTATTTGTCTACTAATATCTCTACAAAAATATAACAGTGTTAGTTTTTTTTTTCCATTTTAATAAATAAAAAAAATAAATAAATAAAATAAAAAAATCAAAAAAAAAAAAAAAAATCATTCTTTAATTCAATAAATCAAACAGAAAATCATAGCTAAGAAATACTGACCACTGGAGAGAGACATTTAGACTTAAATTTAATGAAAGTCTCAATTATAGTGAAAACTGTCTTAAAAGTAGCAGCAAAACATGATTCCATACATAGAGTTTTGATACCAGAGAAGGGGCAGGATCAAAATAATATCTAATGCAAAATATTTAATCTAATTCTGTCCATTTGGTCACTATATCTTTAAAAGAGTCAAACTAAAGAATATAGCACATTATTTTATAATGTATAAAAAATTTAGTATGTATATAGCTACTTAAGAAATATCAATGCAATCCTTTGGTATAGTATTTTTAATTTTAAAAAATCCCCATGAGAGAATCAGTGTTTATTGACAGTGTTTTAAAAATTGTTTAAATTCATTTTTTTTACTTTGTTAAGCAAAGTAATTGGTTTAATGGCTTTAATTTTTTTTGTAGTATTTGTCATGAGTTGGTCATCTAGAAAGAAAAAATGGCTTTTGCTGAATTTCCCAAAAATCATTAAAATGCAACCATCCATAAAATTTGGGAAGAATTTGTAGAATATTAGAATTCTGTTTATATAACACTCAAGTGTTTTACACCAAAATGAAATCAATTCTTACAGTAATGAGTCATCATAAAAAGCAATAAACAGTCATCCTGACATTTTATGGAGATATTTAATATCCATTTTATATATATATATATATATATATATATATATATATATATATATATATAAAAAAGCTCATTTACTAGACAAGCAACCCCATATTGGCAAATTTGGATAAACAAGATTAATCATTTAAGTTGTTTAACTTTAGAAATGCATAGCAAATTTGAAGCATTTATTTGTATTGGGTACAAAATGTTAATGACCAATTAAATATTTCATGGGACATCAAAGGAAATGTTTTGCAGCTTTTGAAATGCATGTTCTTTGCAGAAGGCACCATAGCTTTTGCTTAAATATTTAATAAATTTCAGTCCAAGGGCCAGCAAAGCCACCACGAGAAAAAAAAATGCAGCACTCAGTGAAGAGCAAAAGGCACAGGATAGAATCAGGCAATTTTTGTTTTAAGTTCAATATCAATATTCAAAGGTTTAGTGTCATCTGATTTTGGCAAAAAAAAAAAAAACACTCATTGTTAAGAAATTTATAAAATTTCTTCTAAGGACAGACAACACTGCCTAAACTAATAGCAAAGACAGATATACCAAGAGTTGTAAAGAAAAAAGCTACAAGCTGAACCATGCCCAAAATTGGCAGCTAATTTGGCCAAATAGATTAAGCAATGTCTACAGTCAATCTAATCTACACTGTTGTCTGCAGGAGATTCAATTCCAAACAACGAGTTTCTTTGCCAGACATTAAAAACCTTTGAAGTATTGAACTATTTTCAAAAGCTCATTCTGAATTTGGATCTGACAAACTTATTCCCATGATGATAGTCAGAAGTCATAAAAAGGCCAAAATCAGCTTTTAGTCAATCTAACAAACAAAAGGTAAGTATTTTTTTTAACAGAATAAAAAACGTTTTAGGAAAAAAGGAAACCATTGAGGTTGAGGGAAAAAAGAAAAAAAATATGAAAGAATGTTGTGTACCTACCCTGAGCAGCTTGTTCTGGTCGCCGCTGTTCCATAATATCACGGGTTTGTTTGATGCCCTTGTAATTGATTTCACTCTGAATCTGGGTGTTTTGCTTGATGCGCTGCAGCTCGGGGTCATCGGCCACAGTGATTCGTTTCCCTTTTTGCTTCTCAAAAGCTTCATGGTATTTAATCTGAAGTTAAAATGATCAATGAGATTAAGACTTTACTAACATTCAATCTATAAAACACCATAGAACAAATTGAAAATTGAACATCAGAGTCCCCCAAACCCTGATAAAACAAATTCAAGGGAGGGTTCAATACATTGTATTAAATTATGCATAATAAATTGAAAAAGAATTTTTTTTTTTTTTGAAAACAGAAACATGTATAGAAACCAGTATTAGCAGATACTATTATTAAAAGAAAATTAGCTAAACCCTTTTATAAAAAAAAAAAATATTGAGAGAAAAAAAATAAATGCTTAAATGGCACTAACTGCTCAAAATGGTTCAGAAAAAAAAATATTACAAAGTTATAAAGTACATTTTGTGCAGAATTTTTCTCTCCTTCAGTGAAAGGAATTACAATTACAAAAGATTAATTGAACTTATTACAATATAACTTTTAGGTAATAATCATAGCTACTATTAAAGTATATATACATTTTTTTGTGGTGGGGGCAAGTGTAGCAAAAAAAACAAAAAAAAAACAGATAAATAGATAACTCTTTATATAAAACAGCTAAATAAGAGCCAGTAAAATCTTCATTTCTTTTTAACATATAACCAGTTTACTCTGGCAGTTTTTCATCAACTTCACCTCGTACGGTGTTTCAATTTTTGCCTGTGTCAGTGTAAACAGAACCAGGAAAAGGTCCAGTGTAAGTTCACAAGAGAACATCAGGTGAAATATTACCAGGGTGAGAAAAGAAAACAAGAATCTGGTTTTCAATATACTGAGTTTCTTATTTATGGATTCATTTGACACTGTCTAAAATTAGTGACACTTGGGATAGCATCTCTCACAACACACAGGCCAGGTCTTTCTGTTAATGAGAACTGTCTCCCTCCATCTTTATATTACTTACTTTAACTGTGGCACTCTTACTGCAACTCCAATTGCCTGTGACTACATCTTGACAGGCAGCTTATGACTGACTCTTACCTAAAATGCAACCTAACTATACAAAACCAAGACTGAAATTCCCTAACTTCTATCTGAGTGGCACTTGATCATGAAAATTTTTAATTATATAATTCACTTTTTTTTCCCCTACTTCTGAACAGTGGATTTGAAACTATCACATCTCAATTTTACTGGCAATGCAATTGGTAGTCATAAAACCAGGTCTAGATAAAATCATATACAGTCCACTTGATTACATGAGTGGACTAACCTACCATGTGGAGATCCATTGCCAGCCATAAGAACAAAGAAATTATTTAATATGAAAATTACTGGATGAAGTCAGGATTTTAAAAAATTGAGAGAAAAATTTAGAAGTTTGAAAGACAAATATATAACTTGACATGTCAACAAAGTTATTTTCAGTATGGAATCAAGTTATTTTAAAATACATAATACCTGATCCCAAAAGTTAGTCGACCAAAGAAAAAAAATTAAGGATATATCCAAACACCACTATATAACTAATAAGGTAATTTATGTTAGAAAAAAAACAATTATATTCCATATAGGTTTTTTGAAAGGTAGGTCTCAAGTATAAAGAAATGCTGGTTATAATAAAAACTGATAGGGAGGATTAGGCAATGCTGATTATGATCACAGATAGTAAAGGTAAATGGAGATTTATTTATTAAAAAAATACTAATAGCACTAATGCATAACAAAACCTATATAACTCAGGAAGGTAGTTAGAGAGTTTTACAAGTAAAAATGTTTCTACATTTATTATACTTGGTAGGCAGCAAATCAATCGTATTTAAGGGACATGCTTTAAAATCGAACAAGGCTGAGAATTAAGTCATTGTTTTGTTCTTAATCTTTTAGATAAAGTGTAACAAAAAATTATTATAATGTAGTTTTTTGGGGGGTTTTTTTAAAGCATTCTTTTTAATGACTTCAAATTATTGAAATGCTATAGAAAATCATGCAACATTTTTCTCTCAAGAGTAATGAAATTTTTTTTTTCTTTTGTGACTGTTAGGAAATAAAATCCAAAATGAACATAAAAAAATTCTAACCAATTTCTATTACTGCTATTCAAAGGAAAAATATTTTTAAAATTGATATTTAATAAAATATGAAAAAATTTTCCATACTTATAAAAAGAATTGTAATACAAGCCACATACTAAAAGCTACAGCAATATAAAAAATAAATTACATTTTTTAAATAACCATCTCATTATTAATTTGCTATTTTCATATATACTGACTTTGAATAAATAACCAAATAAATTGAAAAATCAGAATAAAAATTTCTGGCAATTCATAATATCCTGTAACCTACAAAATGACCATGGTACCATACTTGGTCCTTCATGGTATTTCTTTAGACAAATGTTTTATTTGGCATCTACTCTATTGCAACAAAAGGCAAATTATTTTTCTTCCTGTCACAAACAGAGAATGGAGATATGTATAAGGCTTAGTAATCATAAATCATGGTGAACAATAAAGTACTTATACCAGCAAGCTCATCTCTCAGACAAACTAAATCATTTGAAAAGTTAGAATATGGCAGTACTTTCAAAGTTTATATATTTATCTATTGTTTATACCAAATAAGGACAATACAATTATTTAGATGGGAAGAAATTGAAGAGGATAAATATTTAATATATTATACACACAGAGAGAAACAAAAAAAACCTGAATTGTTGAAAAACATCTTTCCAAGGGATGTCAAATTCCTGAAATTTGAAAGATTCCGTTAAACATTTAGGTGTTGGGTTACATTGGAACACTGGTGTGATCAAAACAAGTTGAAAATGGTACAAAGCTTTTCATACTAACTTGGACACAGGCAGTATATGTCATTAGTGACATGGTTGTAATAATTAAATTTTTTACTAAAACAGGAACAAAGATACTTTTAAACTGCAAAAATATTTTTAAAGATACCAACTTGGACAAATTGTTGCCTTGAACTGGATAAATACATTCATATTTGTCAAACTTCTGGATATTTAAACATTAACAAAGTGTTTTAGGATCTAATTTCACTGAATGTTACATTAGATCCATAAGAAGAATTAAAATTAAAATAATGAATCTATTTTTTTAGAAAACATACCTGTATTTACCTAACAAGTAATGAAAAAGGAAAACTGACATTTCAGCAAAATACAAAAAATTGGACAATAACATGTTGATTATATAATAAGCCTTAAATCCTAAATCTATTTGTAGGATTCTTGTTTTAAAGAAAAAAAAAAAAAAAAAAAGATACCTCATATTAAAGTGCATGACACTCATCCCAAAAATGAGAGAAAGTCCATGCTTTGCAAAACCATATCCATCACACAGGTATCTATACTAACAGCAAGCTTTATATCCAAGTCTCCCACCCACTTCATCACATTCTCAACCTCATACTCTCAAGCAATGTTTCAGCTACTTGAACTTCTTGTGATTATCCAGTGCAGATTATTCATTTCTCTGTATCAGATGGAAACATTTTATCAGAACAAAGAATAAACTGTTTGAAACACTGGTGGTGTTCAATTTGAACAAACTAGCACATTAAATATTTACATCTTCATTTATTTTTTTTAAAGTTCAATATATATATATATATATATATATATAGCTTAAAGATTTTAAAATGGTTTTACATCCCATTTGTAAGTATAACAGAATAGTTAACATTAAGAAAATATCAAAAGGCAGAGAATGATTTCACTTTTTGAAGGGGTCAAAATTGATTTAATAAACCATAAAAATGTAACTGATGAATTCAACAAAATTTAAAAGTGTGAAAAGCTTGGCTCCTGTTATAACCTGGTAGGTATAAGAGGATAACAGCAATGAGAAAAAGGAAAAAAAAAAATAAAGGCAAAGTACCGAGCTGAGATTCTTGGCATTTTCTATATGTCGCTTCATCTCAAGGCTATCAGCTGTGATTTGAGATGCAGTTCCTTTTTGCTTTTCAAAGCCACTGTGATACTGAACCTGTGGGTGTCAACAAATCATTACACTCCACCTCAGTTAAACTCTTTCTTCATAAATGAATTTCAGTTAATTATTTACCAAAATAAAAACATGAAATATTCAAAGTTTTACATTAAAAATTAAGGTTTTAATTTTTGTACTTAGTTATAGATTTTGAAGTTAAGTCACCATAGCATTTAAAAAATTTTATTAATATCCTCATCCTTCCTTTTCCAACATCATACCATCTAAATCATTATAAAAACTCAGGGTTGATTTATTTTTCTATTTGCAAATGAACAAAGAATCAGTAAAGCAGGAGGAAATGAAACTGACAAAACAAATTAATTTTGATTTCTGATCATTAGGTAAATTATTTTGAAAAGAGCTTAACCTTGAAAATTCACACTGATAAAATACACTGACACATGAGCACCTGTTGTGTCTTGGAGTTAAGATCAAATTAAGAAAAAGGGAGGGCGGGGACTTTAGGTAGATAAATCTACAATTTAATCATTATATTCAGAAAGCTTGAGTAACAAGAAAGTTTCCTCAATATATCATTCCAAAGAAAAAGCATTTCTAAGCATTTCTTGATACAAATGCTCATGTGTCATGAAGACAAGCAGATAATTTCTATTAAAAGTGACTTCTATTCTATGGCACCCAGTGACAATCAGAATAGGCCATGAAGTATGATGTAGAAAGAGACAAGGATAACAGCATAAATGTTGCTTTATATTTAAAAAGGTTTTAAAATAAGTAATTTATATCAAACAATAAAATAAGTGAAATTTAAAAAATACAAATATATTTTGTTTTCAGAAATTGAGATGAAGTATTCCTCTTACTCCATGAATTATTCAGACTTATATCTTGATCTTAGTTTTTTTACATTTTGGCCAATATGTTCTTTAGCCTTCTTCGAGAGTATGTTACATCCAATAATCCCTGGTCATCATTTTAGCCTCACTACTTGAATTGGAACAATTTTTACATTTGTTGTTCAAAGGTTTATGCTGACAAAAAGTTTGTCTTCCTAGTGTCAGCTGAAACATTATGGTTTAAAAAAA